TGAATACATCATGAGAAGAGATTACAACTGCTTTTCTCATAAAAATCACATTTATTTCTATAATGTTCAGTACTTTTGAAGCATAGGTTTTAAGAGAGATACAAGTGGAGTTTGTTACAGAACTGCAGTCCAAAAATATTTAGTCTTTAATCTTTAGAAATTGACGGCTGAGGAGTATGAGCAGGTTCGGAACACTGATCTGATTTGTAGATTCATCCAAGTTATGTTTTAGTTAATGACAGTTTACTGAATAAACCACAATTGGCTAGCTTCATGGAACATGCTAAACCATAAACCAGTTTACAAATCAAAATTCTAGGTTTATATAAGAAACCAAGGCATAATGTGATGTGGTCAGGATAAGTGTATATATTGTGTGAACTCAGATACTGTGGTTTATTCAATGCACTGTGGATAGGTGAACAATGGCTTAGAATAGTGTGTGAACCTGATACTCTATCACATAACTCATCCCCAAAAAGGAGGCATTTCCAAATAAATGCTAGAAAATATAGAATGGGGATTTAAGAAATGGAATGCAATTTACACCAAACTTAAGCATTTCCCCCCTAGATTTCATGGAAGGCTCATTCTCAAGGAGAGATCAACCTCTGATAAAATGACAAGGGAAGCTAAAACATGCAGCTCAGCTGGAAACAAACTGGCAAGAATGAATCAACAGATTAAGAGTTAAACAAATGTAAAACTAGAATTGAAAAAGTGGGTGAAAGGTTATACGTACAACTTACGCAACTTCTTCAGGAACATAACAGCTTATATTTTAAAAGCGGTTAGAGTCAATAAAACTTTGCCAATGAAACACCAATTATAACAGGTTTTTGGAGAGTAAGAGAAGGGGCAAATAAGCTTCTGCCAAACTTGTGACTGGTGAGAACACTCTTTGAACATATTATTTTTCAGTCTTTTAATCTAAACCACTGAGGATTAATTAGTAGTGTTCATTATTGTTTTATTATATTTTACCATTGCTTCTCTTTTTGTCTTTTTGTGTGAAGTCACAACCACACAGAGATTTTAGAAAATTGAACAAAATAATTTTATTAATTAAAAGCAAAAATATTGTTTGGCAGGAAGAAGTATGGTGCCATCCAACCATCCATCCACACATACACACACACACATATGCTTAATTATGAAATCCCACCTACTAATTATTGAATTTGTGAGTCGTTCATATCTCAGCCCATTATATATTGCTAAAATTATTTTATTCATTTGATTGTTTGCAAACCTTCAATTCAGTGAAATGGTGTGCTATAGGGAAGCAATTTTTTAATCAATATCCCTCAAACGGTCTAACACAGAATATGTCCAAAGTTTGGGATCCATGTCTCCTATTGGATTGAAATTTGGCAAAGTTGTCCCTGCTTCAGTCCTGCAGTCATCTGATCTTCATTTACAACAGTCCCTGCTAGCTTCCTACAAGGAAAGTCAAAGAGGAAGCTGGCAGTAAGTCAGAAGTTCCTCTGCTCCTACTGCTTTTTTGCCTGCCCATGGTTATTCTGCTTCTCTGTTTAGGTAAGGAAGTGTCCCTGAAATAATGACCCAGCTGGTCACGGGTTGTCTCATATTCAGGGTGGATTTGATTTAAATCGAGTCGATTTAAATCATGATTTAAATCATGATTTAAATCACTAGTAAAAAGACTTGATTTAAATCAACTCGATTTAAATCATAATTTTTAAAGAGCAACTGTCATCTCTGCTACTCCTTTGACCCGCTGTTGACTCACCGATAGTCCCAGTATTGCAGAATATACAGCCTTGTGCTACATAACAAAGCTCCATTTCATGCTGAGTAAACTGAATACTATCTTATGATAGATTTTTACCCCAAAAGTTTTTTATTAAAATAAATTCAATAAAAATCAAAAAAATCCAATTTAAATAAAAAAAAATCGATTTAAATAAAAAAAATCATTGATTTTTATCCACACTGCTCATATTCAATAAAGCTGAGATATCCAGCATCTGATCTATAAAAATAAATAGGGTGACACATCTTCTACATCTAATGGAACACCTAACAGGACTGTGGAACATTTTGGAACTAATTCAGAAAAAACAGTGTACAAACATAGGACTTGTTTGTAATTCTTAAAAGAGCTGAATTCTTTCTCTTTGCAGCTGTTACATGATTCTGGCAAAAGATACAGCTCTTTAAAGAGCAGTAAACAGGCATTACATTCATCTCCTATGCACAGCAAAGCTTCTGACTGCCCTAATACATAATATTTAGTAGATTTTTATCCCATCCGTATCACTTTATAACTAACTTAAGGCGGTGAACATACCTAATACTCTTTCCTCATCCTATTCTCCCCATAACAACTCTGTGAAGTGAGTCGGGCTGAGAGTGGCTGGACCAAAGTCACACACCTGGCTTTCATGTTTTAGGCAGTATTAGAACTCCTGTAGTCTTCTAGTTTCTGGGCCAGTATCTTAATCACTATACCAAATAGGCTCTCTGTAATTTAGGAGCTCATATGGACTAAATGTTGATCTTACTATTTGGTAACCATAAATGGGATTACAGTCTAAAAGGATTATTTTGATAAAGGAAGGTGTAATATTTTAGTCTCAGATTTAAACCTACATTCAGGGAAGAGTTGTGGCAATTCTATGACCTATTCAATCTGTGCAACTTCCTGGAGAAATTTATTCAACAAGGTTTGTTTGAACATTATCTAAAATTCTAAACAGAAAAAAAGGCTTCAAAAATTTGGGCCAGATATTGAATTAACAGTTAATATTGTGAGTCTCTATAGGTGAAAAAGCTGGGGTGGGGCTTTACTTTTTGAATTGGAATTTGTCAAAGTATGTTTACAAAAAGCTGATTTCAGAATTTGGAGCTATCATTGAGAAGATATTCTAGGCTCTGGCCCTCTTACGTCTGATGTAAAGGAATCATGAGCATCTCCATAAGTACTGCATGGACAGGACAGGCCAATTCTGCTTGGAGGAGATGATTGTGATGTTTTCTATTTATTTGAATTTATTAGCTGCCCAACTCCAATGGACTGGACAGTATACAAAACTGGAAAATTCATAAAAACAGGTATAAAAGCAAACCAATGAACAAATCAAGCTAAAATAATCTTATAAACAAATCAAACAAAAAGGTTACTCTGAATTGTGAGGCAAATTCTACAACCTAACTTCCAGAGCTAGATTCCAACAGGAATGTGAGTCTTTCTGGTGCACATATTTGCCTAAAGCAGATTATTTTACTACTCGATGAATAAAATTAATGATTGGAATAGGATGATCTTCCCCCATACCTCAATATATTTATCTGGATCTTAAGATCATATTTAAAGAAGTTTATTCATCTCTTATAGAATGATATGGATGGCTGCCTAATAAGCAGTCTTTTTCAGTGCTGATATTCTTTTCAATTCTGATCTGTTCAAGAGCAACTTTTTAAAAAATGATTTAAAGTTTTAAAAAATATGATTTAATGCTTTTTAGGTCTTCTATTCAGATCTTCTATTTTAGATCTTGGGTGGCTAGACACACTTTGAAGGCCACCAAGGGAACTTACTGGTAAAGTACAGTACAAAAACACTATAAATGTATAAAATAGAACTGCTTCATTACCAGAGAAAATCTATTCAGGAGGATTTATATACATATACCTACACACACACACACACACACACATGACAAGAACTATATTTTCATTGTCGCAGATTTACAATTTATTTAAAAAATATCTATGAGTAATCAGTTACTCTACTAATAATTGGAATGTTACTTAATGCACAACGTCACTGAAATCTATGCACTCACTAGAATTTATCTAGTAGCCTTCATCTCCAAACACCCATCAAGGGAGAAAGGTGTATGTTTGTGTAATCTTGACCTTAGTTATCTTGAAGTTCCAGGCAATCATCCTTAAATTACTAATACAATCTTCTGCCATAAATCTGCATAATTTGTTTTGTCAGAAGTGTAACAATTACTTTTAAGCCCAATATTAATTGCAAACATACAACTGTTGTAATTGAATTATAACTTGTTTCTATTTGACAAATTAAAAGGAAGGTATCTTAATACATGTGTGTGCAGCTTAATGTATTCTACAATGTAATGTAAATACATAAATCATAAGGAAGCCAAGATGAGAAATACAGTATTTCCATTATTCCACAGCGCTCACAGGATTGTGTAATATACTTCCCCCCTTGTAAAATTCACAACTCTATAAAAATAGTTTTCAGCTGCCTTATGGGATGAAACTTGAAAGACATTAAAAGATGAGGCAAACCCTTCCCAGCCTCTATTCCATGCCTGAAGTAGTATGAGATTTATACCTTATGTATAGAAGAGGAAAAATAACAGGCAACAACAACTGAGAGGCAATGGCTGCATTAATTCTGTGGAATGGAAATAGCCTAATTTGTTAAGAATGCTATTTGAGAAAAGTAATGATGAATTCCAAGGGCAAGTGGAACGTTCAGAATTCCTGAATTTTATTGGAAAATTTTAGAGATTTGAGAATCCTGCATTCTATAAATTTGTGTGCAAGACACGGGGTGGGGGTGGGGGAACCAAATTAAGTCAGCATACTTCAGCCTGAGGATAATAGGAAGTTGCACAAAGTTACCTTAGTCAGACTTGCAACCCTGTCAAGATCGGACGCGGAGGGTGCAAAAAAGCTGAATGGAGAAGGAAAAGTCACACTCATCTACCATCCGATTTTTATTCCACCTCGTTGTTAAGAAGCTCGAGGAGGCGATAACTTTTCCGACCCCCTCCCTAACACACCCACATCTGCCCTTGCGATGCAGCCTCTAAGTCACCCTACAAATGTCAGGCTGAGCGGGGACTGAATCCGACTTTCTCTCCTCCGAAGCTAATATCTCCCAACACCGCCCGGTTGATGTTGACCTCTGGGGCGGCCGGCCCGCCCCCGCCCCCCCTCCCCCCCCCCCCCCCCCCCCCCCGCAGCCCCAAAGTCAGCACGCACCTGCCTACCTCGGTGACAATGGTGTTGTCGTAATACTCTCGACTGAACTCCCAGCCGTCCAGGCACTCCTCCTGCCCCACCTGGCTGAGATTGACATCGCGGCCGGGCTCCAGGTTGCCGGCCGAGAAGTTGAGCAGGGCCTCCAGACTGTAGCGGCTGCACTGGCTCCGCACCTGCCGCCCGCCGCGCTTCTCCAGGGGGATGCTGGCGTTGAGCCACGCCGCGCTCAGGTTGACGTTAGCGGGCACCCGGCACCAGTGCTCTGGGGTGGCGGCCAAGAAGACAGCCGACAGCCCCGTGTAACCGTTAGGGATGATGCTGGCGCTGAGCAGGAAGAAGATGAGGCGTTGGAAGGGGCCCCATTCGCCCAGAAAGGCGGTGGCCTCGTCGTAGTTGAACATAACTGGCGACAGGCAGGCAGGGCGAATGCAGAACGGCTGCCAAGGAACGGCCGCGACCCGAGACGCCGCTCTCGTTAGCAAATATAGCAGCTCCTGCTGGCCGGGCAAAAGAAAACCCAGCCGGCCGCCGGCAGTAAATGGGAAGAAGCAGGGGCCGGTTCAGGAGGCTGGTTGTGGGTGTGGTTTGTACACAAAGGGCTGGAGCGCCTCGCTCGGCCCGCCGACGAAACCCGGCCCGCGTCTCTCTCCAAGTTCCCGCGCGGAAGAAAGGGAATCACCGCCCGCCTCTTTTCGTTTGTTTTTTTTTTTTTAGGCTGAAGGGCTTTGAGTTGATTATTAAACTCCGCCCCGGGAGAGCGAACGCGGAGAATTTTGCTTTAAATGTTAAAAAAAAGACAAAAAAAACCAAAAATGTACATTGCTCTACCCATTGGTGGGTAAATAGGGGAGCTGTTCGGTTCAGGTTTCTCTCTGAGATGGCAAGCAAACTTTTTAAACGGCTTTTTTTTTTTTTTTTTAGCATGTCCGCCTTTACTCTGACAGGCTGATTGTGTAAAACGGATGCAGGCACAAGCAGCGCAAGGGAGTGTGACAGACAGTGTGGCTTGAAATGCATTTTTTAAAAAATCACATTGTTTATTTAGGGCATAGGCAACCATATTTGCATAACATGTACAAAACTAAGAGAATAATAGATCTAGTGAACCAGCTTTGCCTCAACGGTTCCTCTGCCTCTGTATTGTTTAGCCCTGGATTTCTAAGAACAGTACAGAAGTTAGTTACCCAATTTCCTTACTTGCCTAGTCCCACGAACTAGTCCATTTTATTTATTTTATTTAGGCCAATAAAATGCTCACACCAATTTCTGTAGACTTAGCAGGAAGCCATGATGTTTGTTTTGTTTATTGTTTCTTGGCATCACATAACATATAAATTGATACATTATGGCTTTGCACTATGACCACTGTGTTATGTTCACCAAATCATAGTTAAAATAAATTATCAGTTATCACTTTAAATTCAACCTTATGGCAATCTTTCCCAACCTAATTATACCTCCTCCCAAATATTTTGGAATGGACAATGATATTCCGTCCGTGTCCATTACCATATTCCAATACTGCACATTGGTATAAACTTTTATTTTTTAATAGAAAGCAATACAACAAGCAACAAGGACTGTTCTAAAAGCATTTGGTCCTACCCAATCCAATCATTCTGTAGCTTTTAAAGTAGCTTTTAAATGACTGTTCTGAGGTTTATTTACTGTAGGTTTATTTTTAAAAATATACATTTAAACAAAAACAAAACATGTTACCCAAAGATTGATACTTGTTCATAAATTACTATCAGATTTCCAAAAGTTTAGATTGGGGTGCCATAAATACTTACAAAATTGTTTATATTGTCAATTCTTAATGCACTTTTGTTACTCAGATTTACCAGTTGCTATACAAAATTTGTTTAGAGCAATGAAATCTGTGATGATGATTACTACTGAAATGACTCATATCACAATTTATGTGACCTTTCTCCACAATAGGGATGCGGTGGCTCAGTGACTGAGCTTGTTGATCAAAAGGTCAGCAGTTCAGTGGTTCAAATCCCTAGTGCCGCGTAACGGAGTAAGCGCCCATTACTTGTCCCAGCTTCTGCCAACCTAGCAGTTCGAAAGCACGTAAAAAATGCAAGTAGAAAAATAGGGCATTCTGCGTGCCTTGGCGTTTAGTCCACATGACCACGGAGATGTCTTTGGACAGCGCTGGCTCTTCGGCTTTGAAACGGAGATAAGCACCGCCCCCTAGAGTCGGGAAAGACATATGTGCGAGAGGAACCTTTACCTTTACCTTGTCCACAATGCAGTGAAAGCATTGAGTAAAATGTTCCAGTTGAGTTACCCCTACTTCAAATTCCAAAGCACTGAAGTTAGTATAGTTAAGCATTTTAATACAAGCTATTTAAAAAAAAGATCAGGGTGAACTATTTTTTTTCTCAAACAACTAAATAAAAGTGTAAAATAAGCCTAGTATCCTCATAATCAAAAATTATTTTGAATAGACATAGATTAGTTCTTAAAATTTCAGAACCTAAAATGAGCCAGGAAGATTATTTATATATTATAAATGTTTCTATACAGGTAGTCCTCGACTTATGACCACAATTGAGCCCAAAATATATGTTGCTGAGGCATTTTTGCTCCATTTTACAATTTTTTCTTGCCACAATTGTTATGTGAATCACTGCAGTTGTTAAGTTAGTAACATGATTGTTAAGTGAATCTGGCTTCCCTTTTGACTTCGCTTGTCAAAAAGTCGCAAAGGGGGATCACATGACCCCGGGACACTACAACCATCATGAATATGAACCACTTCTCAAGCATCTGAATTTTGATCATGTGATCATAGGGATGTTGCAATGGTAAGTGTGAAAAAGTCATTTTTTTCAGTGCCATTATAACTTTGAATGGTCACTAAATGAACTGTTGTAAATCGAGGACCACCTGTATTCTCAAATCCCTCAGGACTACTGGTGATTATATAAATCTAGTGGCAGAACATAAAATCCAACCATATAAGTAAAGCTAATTGAAGATTTTACTACATAATAGGCAAATAATAGGGTATTTAAAACAAGGTGAATTAATTGTAAATACAAGTTGTAACTGAATAAATATCACTAATGAGCTTCCATAAAACCAACTGTCAAATCTTGGAGTAGCAAAAGCTTTTAAAGATATTTGGTTAATTACTTGACTAAAGGTTAAGTATGCACAATATGGGTGTGTGTGATACATGGCAATAATCAGGAATCCAGGTCAAAACAACATTCTAGATAACTCTGTGATATTTCTTTTAGCTTGGAGCTGTTTTCTGATTTGGCCTGAATTCAGAAGTTAAACTAGGTAGCCCGGTTGCCCATGAATGGGATGCCAAAAGAACCTTCTAGAAGACAAAGGCAAATCACTTTGATGCTATGCCAGAAAAGCCTATGGAGATATGAGAAATCAAGTTTGAAGTAGATGGGGGGTATTTTTAGTGGAACAAAGGTAATGAGAATGATATGAGCAGCATGGCAGCTTCTTCACCCAAGCCCTGTCCCTTTCCCAAGCCTTTTTCTATAGCCTCACATGTATGTACACCCCAAAGGGGCAGAATATGCATTTCTGCTTTTATCACTCTTAGCAAAAGCAGCAAAAATCTGTGGATCCTCCTGAAGGAGACTTTTCCTATACTGGATGCTCATTTTCTTTCAATCTTGAGTTTTACCAAGCAGAAATTTTAATAGGAGAAAATCCTTAGTTTCTACCTCAAAATATAATCCTGACATAACAAGTGAAATATGTGATCTGCTCAAGATTGAATTCAAACAATATGCACAGCTTTAACTCATGTTTTGCAAAGCACAATGGCTTGATTAAATTAATATGGAAAACCAAAACCAAGTTATATTGTGACTGAGTATGACACATGAATAAGGTGACCAGATTTTAACACTGGTAAAGAGGGACATTGTGGGCGTGGCTTATTTTGTAGGCGTGGCTATCTGGTCATGTGACTGGGTGGGCGTGGCTCTCTGGTCATGTGACTGGGTGGGCGTGGCTAGCTGGTCATGTGACCGGGTGGCCATGGCTATGTGTATAGGGTAAGGTGAACAGATTTTAACATTGGTAAGAAGGACACCATTGTGGGCGTGACTTATTGTGTGGGCGTGGCTTGGAGGCCATGTGACTGGGTGGGCGTGGCTAGCTGGTCATGTGACCGGGTGGCCATGGCTATGTGTATAGGGACTACTCAGAGGGCTGAAAAGTCATTTCTGACAGGTCCTCACACTTTTGACTCGTCCTCACACTTATGACCATCCTCACATTTATGCCCGTGCAGTATTCTTAACAACCATGTCACTCATTTCACAACTGCTTCTCTTCACCATGGTGACAAGATAGGGCAAAAATGTAAAATGTGAGGACAGTCGTAAGTTCGAGGACTGGTCAAAAGTGTGAGGACCAGTTAAAATAACTTTTTCAGCCCTCTGAGTAGTCCATATGCACAAAAGGATTAACCAGAGGGCTGAAAAAAGTCATTTCTGACAGGTCCTCGCACTTTTGACTGGTCCTCACACTTATGACCATCCTCACATTTATGCCCATGCAGCATTCTTAACAACCATGTCACTCATTTCACAACTGCTTCTCTTCAACATGGTGACAAGATAGGGCAAAAATGTAAAATGTGAGGACAGTCATAAGTTCAAGGACTGGTCAAAAATAACTTTTTCAGCCCTCTGAGTAGTCCATATGCATTAAAGGATACAGCAATAGAGAGGGATGAAGGAATGGAAATTAGAGTAGGAGTGAGGGTAAGAGAGGGAGGAAGAGAGGAGGAGAAGGAGAAAGGAAGAGGAAGTAGGGAGGAGAAAAAGAGGGTGGGGGGAAGAGAAAGTAAGAAGGAAAGAAAAGAGAGTGGTGGTAGGTTTGAGGAGAAAGATTGCTGTACAATAAAAAAGATGAAAGGGAAGAAAGCCAACCCCAAGCAAATATAAAGATATTAAGATTAAGAATGAATTGTTAAACTTTAAAGAATAAAAGAGAACAAATATGAATAAATAGCAATAATTAGAAACACACATACAAACATACAATGTATTTTCTTTGAACAGAATATTTGGCTGGTTCACAAATTTAAACAGCGTTTAGTCATTTCAATTAAATTTACAATTTCTATATTTCCTTTTTGCCATATTTATTCCTCATCTATTTTTTAAAAAAAACAATATTACCCTTCATCCTCATCTCTAATCTTAATCAAATTCAATTTTTCCCTTCTATTCTATATTATACCCCTTCCCATTGTCATCTATTTTTATATCCATCCTCACATTGGTTAATTATGTAATTATGTAATACAGTTGTTTAATACAAATTCAACATTTTAATATAAATCAATTAGTTATATAACTATCTTTTTTGTATATTAATCAATATGAACATGAATATTCCAATTATTTCCATGCAATCCAATTTCTTACAAATCAATTAATTATATTTACCAATAATAATAAACCAAATAATTTCCCCCATATATTCCTCCAAACCACAACTTAACCATTTCTACTTTCAACACAATATACAATTAATAGTATCTCAATTATTACAATTCCCTAGTTAAATAGAGCTTTTTTTCTTTTGTGTTTTAAAATCTTGAACTCTCCTCTTTTGCCCAAAATTTCCCATTGTTTGCAGTTTTGTACCTACCTTTTTTGGTGAGGAAAAAGAAAAAGAAAAAGAAAGA